GCATGCCAAGCTAACTAGTTACCCTGTAACATTCAGTAGTAGCCAGTTATTACTTGCAAGGCAAAAGATCATATTATGAATCAACTAGGTGACATTAGTTTATTGGGTTCAGGCTAAATTTAAATAAAGTCCCCTTCACACTAACACATTTGTTGTGTGGTGTATACCTTCTATAGTAAAGAGGATTCTGGAAGCTATCAGAGTTTAAGTTAATGCTTCCTGAGCTAATGTTACCTGACCTAACGTAATATGGCAAAACACAAGTCACATACAGCAAAAAACAACATTTTTCCTCATTGTCACACCAATAAAATACTGCTCCAAAAAATGAAGGGAACACTTTAATTACACATCAGACCTTGATGAACAAATAATTCAAGTTGAAAATCTTTACTGATGCACATTGTATAATTTGTTGAGAACAAAATGATGCAACAACAGTCAATGAAAACCAAAATAATCAAAGTAAAAAACTGAAATCCCAGGCCGATCCAACTTGTGTGAATTTTATCACAGCAACTTACTATATAATGTGACTCAGTAGTGTGTATGGTCCCTGCGTGCCTATATGTACTCCTGACAACATCTGGACATGCTCCCGATGAGTCGGTGGATGTTGTCCTGGGAAATCTACTCCCAGACCTGGATCAGGGCATCAGTGAGTTCCTCTGTGGCGGTACTTGGTGGCTTCAGATGCACTGATACACAATGTCCCATAGGTGCTTAATTGCATTTAGGTCAGGGGGATGAGAGGACCAATCAATGGCATCAATGCCTTCATCATCCAGGAACTGCCTACACACTCTGGCCACATGAGCCTGGGCATTGTCCTGCACGAGGAGGAACCCAGGGCCCACTGCACCAGCGTAAGGTCTGACAGATGCTCTGAGGATTTTGTCCTGGGATCAGCTGTTAGGGTACTGTTGGTTATGACATGGAGGTCTGTGTGACCCTCCAATGATATGCTTCCCCTGAAGATCTCTGACCCACTGCCAAAACAGTCATGCTGGATGATGTTACAGGCAGCATAACGTTCACCATGGCATCTCCAGACTCTGAACCTGCTCTCATCTGTGAAGAGAACGGGGCACCAATGGCAAACCTGCCAATTCTGGTGTTCTCTGGCTGGGCCCTAATGTCACCCTCATGAAGTCTGTTTCTGACAGTTTGGTCAGAAACATGCACACCAGTCTGCTGGAGGTCAATTTGTAGGGCATTTGCAGTGCACCTCCTGTTTCTCCTCACACAAACGGGCAGATACCGGTCCTGCTGCTGGGTTGATGAACTTGTGTTGCCCTGTCCAGCTCTCCTTGTGTACCAACCAGTTCCCTGGTATCTCCTCCATGCTCCTGAGACTGTGCTGGGAGACACAGCAAACCTTCTTGTGACTGCATGTATGGACCTGTGCAACCTGATTGGGATGCCAGTAGTGACAAGGACACTAGCAGAACACAAAATTAGAGAAGAATCAGTCAGGAAGGATAAGAAGAGAGCAACTGTCTGTGGCCACCACATGTAAAACCATTCCCTTTTTTTGGGGTCGTCTTGCCTCTCCATTGCATCTTTTGTCACTTTCATTTGCATCAAAGCAGGTGAAACTGATTCACAATGATTTGTGCTTCCTAAATTGACAGATTGATATCCCTGAAGTTTAACTTACTTGGTGTTATACTGTGACCAGTAAGTGTTCCCTTAATTTTTTTGAGCACTGTAGTAAGACTAACTGGCATTACACTCTAAAACAAGAACAATGCAGTTTTACGTAGCACAACATGTCTTTCTATGGCATGTAGCCTCAGTCTTTTAGATATCAGGGTTCCCACAATTGAAGGCAAGTTAATTCAAGACATTGCAAGATGTTTCTTAATGCCAGTTGCAATGAATTTTAAGGCCAATAAAAAAAGAAGAAAACAAATTGTTTTTTTATCGTAAAAAAACATTACCTTTTTGAAAAATACCTGATGTTTGTTGTTTGTTTGTTTTTTGGGGCAGTTTTGTGTTTTTTTCTTTTACTAGTTTCAGCCATGCTGCACAATCGGGGTTAAAAAGACATTTTTTGTGTAATTTTCACTCCATGTTTCATCCAGGTTACAATGGATATGGTTACATGATGGCTTCTCATTCAGAATGAAATAAATCTGAATGAAATCATTTGGAATTAAAGTCTTTCCAGGTAGTTTACATGAGAAATATTCATTCCGAATGAGGGTTTACACGGGAGATCAGTTTAATCGCCTTTATCCAGGTCTGCGCAAGGTTTGGGGCAGGGAAGGTTTCTGATTGGATAGGGGGCGGGGCGGATGTTACATGTTTATGTTTATCGGAAGAAAACACTGTAGTCCTCGCTCAGGATAACAAGATGCTTGACGACGCCGTTCTTAGTGCCTTTTTCAGGCTTGTTTTGCTTATATTCTTGAAGCAGCAGTACAACTAGTCTTGCCACCAGACAATCAGAGATCTCCGCCTTCAGATAGTCTGGGGACACTCCTTTCTAAAGTGTGTTTAACACACCGGCGAAAACGGCCGGCAACAAAGCAACGCCTCTTGCATTTTTGAAAAGGACACGCCTTCTCGGAAATGTGCGCTCCTCCTTTTCTCGTCCGCAAGGAAACAAACACACAGAGAGCTTGAAAATGGATGCCGAGAGATCTAACTCTGTTTTATCAAATGTGTGCTCATCCGTAAAGAAAATATTTTTCCAGCGGATGTCTTAGTTACAACATTATTGAGCTAACTGGAGTAGTTTCATGTCGTATCCAACAACGGGAGGCTTTTAACAGATGACGTCCTGATGTTAGCTTTGCTGCTGCTGTTAGCTGTCCCTGTCAGCTGCAGCCACTGATGCTTTCTAGACATCGTGATTTCCCAAAACTGAATAAATACCACACATAGCAACACAAAACTGCTTTGCTAGCTCAATCATGTTGTAACTAAGATATCCGCTGGAAAAGATATTTTTTCACGGACCGTTTAATGAGTTATTACCTATTACAGACACTGCTAACGGCTAACAGGGCTAACAGCTAACGGTTAGCCCAGCTAAACGTGCACACAGAAATAGTAATGTTTGTTCAATCATTGTGTTTATAGACTTTACAAACATCGGATTAGTCCATACGGTGATACAGTGATGTGAAAAATGTGATATATAGGCTATATATAGCTAAAAGCTCTGCTGGTTTTCTACCCGGAAGTATTTGTAAACAACAAGGCGATTCACTCTATAGTCCGGCAAGACGGATGAGTCATGGCCTTGTAAAAGATTATGTTTGTTTCTTTTAGTTGGCGAGAATGTGTAGCTGCAAACGCGACAAACATCCACTAACTTTGACGGCGCTTTCTGCAAGCACGGCTGAGCCATTTTGTACCGCTGCACGTGTTTCTAGTGGGACTATGTTTACAAGCACAAGAGTTCAGTGAGCCACCGAAGGACCACCCTGCAGATTTACTATTGGTTCTGCAACGTAGGGAGTTTTTTTAAACTCTGAAATTGTATCCGCCCATCTAAACACAAAATCAGGGAGAAAGTCATCAGTCTTTAGTTAAGCAAAGCGTCTAAAGACTGACTTGTGAGTCTACAGTACGACAACAACCTTGTTCTGCTAATGCTTCGTCTGTTGAGGAGGAGAAAGGAGGTAGAAGGTCGAAGAAGGGAGACAGAAGACCGTTCTGTGGCGAATGGAAACCAGTGAGTGTAACAAGTCTGACTGCTCTATCTCAGCCAGTTGCTATGCGAGCTATATACGTCATCGCACCAGAAGAGCAAGGAAAAGAGCATGCGCAGAAAGACGAGAATGAACTTAAAGAGGAATGAGTGTATACATGCACACAAAATTCTTTCATTTGGAATGACAAACGGAATAAACTTCCCCCTTTAATCGGATTTAATTTTCAATCGGAATGACCATTTTTCGGAATGACTGTTTACATGACAACTTTAAATCGGAATGGTCTTTCATTCTGAATGAAAGTGGAATTAAACTGTCCATGTAAATGTACTGACTGAAAACTAGCTAGCAGACAGTGTATTGTCTGCTGTGAGCATTCTGGTTGGAAACAAGTTGTTGGTTCCACTATCCTGATCTGCATGACATTCAGTGAAGAAGAGAAGCATTCAGTGAAGAATTAATATATAATTATATACTAATTATTTTAAGATTTTACAATGCAACATCTGGGAAAAAAAGATAAAGATAAATAGAAGATAATAAGATAATAAAAGATATATATATATATACACACACACACATACACATACATTCATTCATACATATATATATAAAATCCTACTTCCCGTGTCTTAGTATTTTTAAGACTTTTGAAAGACTGATTTAAGAAATTTCAATACAATTAATGCCTTATTTATAGATTAATGAATTCAGTGCCTTTTAAGTCTTTTCAAGGATCAGCAGGAACCCTGTAGCCATCAACAGTATATTTATGACCTTTGGACAGGGTTTAGTTTTATAACGAGGCAACCAGTAACCTGAAAAACTCTGTTGGTAACTGCATTTTCTTGTCTTGAAACTTGATTAAGCCGTTAGTTTAATTACCTAGCTAGTTATGGGAGCATATCTATGTTCCCAGGTTCCCCTAGCTCAATATTCCCTTCGTATGTCTCATTAATGACACCTTTCAAAGGGTTTATGTTCACAGCATGGTTTTCCTTAGATCAAATGTTCAATGTGTATTTTCTTGGGTCAATATGTTAAAATCACCATCTACAGCTTATAGCCTACTGATGTTATACTCTTTGATACCAACCCCCCTCAAAAGTCTGTGTTGTTGTAAACTGCGTATGTGCCATGTGAGAACGGAAAGCTTGATGGGAGGGGAGTGGGGCATAGAGAATGGTCAGTTATGCCTGTGGTGTGGATAAATCTGCTGTATGTATTTTCATTGCTTGTAACTGTCTGTTTCTGCTGTTTCACGTGTAATGCAATGGTGCTATAAATAGTGTTGAAGTCAGTCTCTGTCTCTCTCTTCTTTGTTTTCTCCAGGTCAGCCTACCAAATGACTCCAGCTGTGTTGAAGAGATTTTGCGGGTATGTTGCTTGGGCACTCACACACACACACACACACACACACAGTAATTGCACTGATTATCAGCTGTTTTCTGTTTGCTCACAAAGACCTTCGTCTCTCTCCAGAGAGTCTGATTTTAGGAAGAAAGGACAGGGGAGAGAGAAAAGGAGAAACAGAGGGGGAGAGAAGGAGATCTGTTGGCTAAGGTCAATGATTATACAAGTTTTTGTTTTTGTACAGTGACTTCATCCAGAAATCTTTCCACAATCTTCTCTTTTCCTCTACCCTCCTTTCATCTCTCTCCCTCTCTCTCTCTCTCTATCCTCCTCTTTTCCTATCTGCATGTCATCAAAATTACATCAAGCAACGTATTTTTTCCGCAATTTCCCCTCTTTTTTTGTCTTTTTGTTTTGTTTGCATGTTCCTTCAGGGTGATGTCAAAACAGAAATGTTTTCCCACAAATCTTCTCAGTCAAAGGATTTGCAGCTATAAAGACAAGGACCTTCTCTGACTGTTTTATGTCAAGTTATCTCTTTCTCCCCTCACTCTGTCTTCCTCTCTGTATTAGTCTCTATCTCCTCTCTCTCCTTTGTCACATCACTCCCTGTCTTTCCTCTTTCCTCATCCCTCTCTGCCCTCTGTCACTCACTTCTCTCTCTCTCCCTTTCACAAATCAATATGCTGGCCAACAGGCTGTGTGACAGATAGTGTGCTGTGAGCTGCATGAAAAGCCTTTGTCAATAATATCGGTGGGCTATTGGATTCAGTCTGTGGTTTTTAGCAGTGTCAAGTGGAAAGATCGGAGAGTTCAAAATGTGAGGTGAGGTGAATCGGAGCGGAGGCCCGAGGTTCATTTTTTCCCCTTTCTGTGATGGCACAGCTACAAGTCGGTTGTCACAGAAACATTGTTGTTTTGGATGTTTTCACAATTCAAGGTAACAGTGTGTATCAGATATATTGTGCACAGAAGTAAAGCTGCTTAAACTGACTTCAGACATTCAGAAGAGTTTTTGCAGTGTTTGGATCATTTGAACCACACCACACCATGATGGAGGGAATCATTTCTGTCTCCAATACATGAATAACCCTTGCTAATATTTTAGCATATGGTATGGTCACTATACAAGTAGCTTTATCAGATCTAGAAAGGTAGATCTTTACCAATCCCAGGTTGGACTACAAGTGAATTATCTTTTTTTTTACCCCACCTCCAGGGTCAGTTCATTCACATTAGCGGTATGTAGCCATGCAGATAGTTTTGACTTTTACATGTCAAGATGTTAAAATGTCAGTCTTTAAGACTGACTCTAATATTGAGTTGATGGAAGTTCACACTACAGCACACATATTAAAATCTACATTTTATTATTATTATTATTATTATAAACCTTATTTTAGACTCACAGGAGGGTCCATAGCAAAAAAGAAAAAGGATATACAAGACATAAAAAAGCACAATCAACATGTGAGTCTAAATGAAATGAAATGGGTCATTCCAACACATTCTCATCCCAACTCATTAAATATGGCCACCATGTCAGTGGACCTACATGTCAAAATATGACGCACTAGGTACCCTCTTGCATCTGTTGTTGAAGTTCCAGGACAGCGGGTCCATTTACACATGTTGAATGCAGTTTGTCTTTTGAAAAAACATTTCTGTTTTCACAGGAATTGTACAGTTTATGCTCATTACATGCATACAGTCTAGTGATGCAAAATGTAATATCATGGTTATTGTGACCAAAATTATCACAGTTATCATTATTATTATCATTATTATGTTATGCTGACGATACTCAGCTCTATCTCAGCACATCACCTTCCACCCAGTTCCCTCCACAGTCCCTCATCGATTGCCTTCATGAAATAAAAATCTGGATGACCACCAACCTGCTCAAACTCAACAGCCAGAAAACTGAACTCCTTGTTGTTGCTCCCAAGACTCTGCTCCGTGGGGCTGGAGATCTTGTCCTCACTGTTGATGGCTCCTCAATCTCGCCGTCCTCTGAGGTTCGCAACCTGGGTGTCACCTTGGACTCCACTCTTTCTTACGACACACACATCAAATCCGTCACCAAATCAGCTTTTTTCCACCTCAGGAACATCTCCAGACTCCGACCTTCACTCCCCGACTCTGTTGCTGAGACTCTAATACACGCCTTCATCACCTCACGTCTGGATTATTGTAATGCCGTTCTGTACGGGGTCACCAATAAAACTCTTGGCAGACTCCAACATGTTCAAAACTCAGCTGCCAGGGTTCTCACTCGCACTAAACCTTGGCAGCACATCACCCCCACTCTCAAGCAACTGCACTGGCTTCCTGTTATGTTCCGGATCACCTTCAAACTTCTCCTGCTCACCTACAAATCTCTGCACACCCTTGCTCCTCAGTATTTAACAGACCTCCTTCATGTTCACCACCCGTCCCGGAACCTGCGATCTGCAGACTTGGGCCTCCTTTCAATTCCTCGTACTAGAAGGCAAACCTTTGGGAGCGGGGCCTTCAGTGTGGCAGCACCCACCCTCTGGAACTCGCTTCTGCTGGAGATTCACCAGGCACCAACTCTGGACTCTTTTAAATATCAGCTAAAGAGGCACCTTTTCCTGCTGGCTTTCGCCAGCTAGTTGTGTTTTCTGTTTGTTCATGTCATGTGATTTTGTGGTTGTCTGTGTGATTTTGTGGTTGTTTGCAATTGTGAAGCGACCTTGGGTTTCTTGAAAGGCGCTATATAAANTATTATTATTTATTATTATTATTGCGGTATTATTGAAATGTGCTCAAAATGTTCAAAAAGTACTTATACACACACTGAAATAATTTAAAGCAACTCTTACCTTTCTTGCATTTCACACAGTACAGTAACATCCACAACTCCCACCTCCCTCTAAAGTCCGATCCTCCTCCTCCTCCTGCAACTCCACCTCCCTCCAAAGGCCTACTCCCCCCTCCTCCATTACGTCCTCATTACGTCTATGATAGTCTCGCTCACCAGACCTTTCGCAAGAAAAGCAAGGTCTGGCTGGGCCAACTCTCACTTTAAGATTGGAGAAAAAAATGCCCCGGCTGCTTGTATTTCTTTCAATCAATCACAGTCGTTCTGGGTGGTGCCACAGCAACGGTGCGCTTGCAAAAATATTGCCAGGGGGAAACAGGTTTTGGTGTAAAACGCCCACAAAAATATCGCCTACAGGACGGGAACCATGGCAGAAAAATGGCTACATCCCTGCAAGATCAAACATCGCAAAAGTTAGTGAAGGACAAGTTGAAAAGTGTTGAAAACTGCTACACAACCGGAGGTAGTGGGGCAGGACTTCAGCGGGTGGCTCATTCCGCCCAATGAGAGGCTGATCTATACAGCAAACGTCCGCCCACTCAGACTACTATGCCTATGTCTATATGATAGACATAGGCATTGGCATGGTAACGTTAGATACACGGAAGAGGAGGGCAAGTGAAACGTTACAAATGCAACCCCGGAGTTTAAAAACTCAACCGGAGTCAGAGATGACTGAGTCTTAGAACACGGTTACAGTGCTAACGTTAGATAGTAATGTTAACGTTACTAGTAAGTGGAAACGCACAAGGAAGATAACATTAATGTTTCAGAGGCTACGCTACAGTAGGCTAATGTTAGCCATTATATATATAACGTTATGAACTGAACTTCTTTGTCATTTTTATGCGCAGCACAAAAAACAAACTGACATTTCGCATACCCTAAGCAAAAAGAAACAAAACATTTAAAAACAATTAGTGTAACATACAAGAAAGAACATAATAGTGCAATAGTAAGATGGGGTCGACAGGGTCGAAAAGGGTCGACATTTCACAGTCAGAGCTCCACATCCTCTGAGCAGAACTGGGAGATCCTCTTCACATCACAACACCATGAATTGTTTGTGTATACACCACAGAGCTTACCAGGAGATGCAGCCTTCCTGTCTGCTCTATGTAGTGTTAGCCTCCTTAGCTCAACACCGGCGTCTTATATGTTACCATTCATCCATGTCTCAGTGAACACAAGGACGCAGCAGTCCCTCACTCCTCAGTGAGTGCATCTCCACAGTTGGATGTAATCCATTTCGTGCCCAGCGAGTGGACGTTCGCCAGAAGGCCGCTGGGAACAGCTGATTTGATGGGGTTAGCTGTTAGCATAGAGCTAACCCCTCCGCACTTGCTGGCGTCTTCCCTTTGGGACAGCTCCAGGCGAAACCATGGTCATCTCAGGTTACTAGTTTATATCCACAAGCGTCCCTGTTACTAGTTTATATCCACAAGTGTCCCTGTTACTAGCATATTTGTTGTCTCACAGACTCAGAGGTGGAGGGTGTGGGGGGGATGTTACGCGTGGTTACGTCTGTAGGAGGCCTCCACGTGGGGAAGACAGACAGGACAGAAGAAAACTCTGACCAATCATTGCATTCGGTCTGAAAATAAAGAGCACAATGTACTTTCTGTCTAACAGAAAGTCTAGCATGTTTGATTTTCTTTTTGTCGTTCACGATTACTCCCATCACAGTCGTCACTTTGACCAATAGAAACACAGAGGTAGCTGTTGCCATAGATAACTGTAGGGCAACAACACCCCAGCCTTTTTAATATTTCCTCTAGGGATATTACCACACAGAGTAAAAGGGGAAAATGATGGTATGAAACAGCAGAGGCACTTTGTCAACCCGCTGAGTACTGCCATTAGCATCAAGCTAGCAAACAATGTTATTTCTTCATAATGGAGACTGACATAAAGTAAGAAAATTAAAATTAGTGGCTGGGCTTTTACTCACCACAACTACAGAGGCTCCCAGCTTCATTTGAAACAGACTACATTATAGATGGTCCATTATATATTAATCCCTCTGTATCTTTATATTTTTACTTATTATCCGCTCCCGTTGGCTTCATAAAGTTAATGCATCGCGCCGTCATTTCAAACTCAACACTTCTTGAATTTGTTTCAAATTAAAAGCCCCTTATAACCTCAGCTGAGAGAATCCCTCCATTTTCTAAATAGGCTTTTATTGTGAAATATGTGTAGGAACTTGTTGGGGAGGATTCAGTAATTTGAATGTTTGCGTACGGTACTTCAAATGTAGCTCCTGCCATCTGCTGCAGCTTTTTAGGTGACTACAACAACATTTCGGCTGGCACATGAACAGACACAGTGACTGAAATAATAGTAAAAGTAATAAAAATAGGACAAGAATAATCCGATGACATTACACATGCCGTGAAAGACAACCAAGGATAATTGGTGTGGACCATCGTGTAGTGTGCCATGTCTGTCAGCCAAGTCACGGCACGAAAAATCTCTGGAGCACTGTTCGTGTGCCTTCGGTGCCTTCAGCCATGTTTTCACAGGCCAAACATTGCAAACTGCGCATGCTCGCCTGTGTCTGAGGGACTACTGCTGCTGCTTTTCCAGGCAATGAGCAGTATCACTGTGAGTTTTTCAAAGTGCGGTAATCAAACACGGTTTTAATGATAATTAAAATTTGAAACAGTAATACTAACCATCAGGATTTTTACCGCGGTTTATCATTTTACCGGTAATCGTTACATCCCTAATACAGTCTTTTTCAAAGAGACCTTGTTTTTATGTTTATTTCCTTGTGCAAGATGAGCATGTGGTTAGGTTCAGAAAAAAAACATCATGGTTTGGCTCTACATTCACAGGGGAAGCAAACACCAGGCTTCTGGATGAAAGTCTGGGGTTTGTTTGACCAAACCACTTCCCCTCCTGCTCATCCTTTAGGGACTTTCCAGTTTATATTACGATGTTGTCAGCAGCATTACAAACTGAGCCATGTGGCGATTTATCATACTGTCGTGAAATGTGCCTTTTTGCATCAGTGTGTGACGCCGAAATCACGGACAAAGTATTTGACAAGTTGAGAATGAGAACAGGCTGACCATTCTGAGGCTTTGACCACTTAGTGTGCAAAATGACTGAGACTGATTTTCTGCCAATTAGTGTGGCACAGATGGAAATTCAGAAAGCTAGTTTGATAACTCAAGTCCGAGTAAGTTATGCATACTGATACTAAATGTATTAAAAAACACTAGCTAGCAGGCTAGCTGGGGCAGACAAGCTCTGACCATCTACTGCTGGGCTATTAAGTCACTGAGACAATGAAACGCAAAACAACTAAAAGAAAAGCACTTCTTTCTGATAATGTGAGATTTTTATGGATGTGAGCATCACAAGCAAAATTTCATTCTCCCACATTTTACAGGGGTGGAAGGAAATCCCAAAATGAAGACAAATACAGGCAAAACTATCTGCACTGAAAGATTCCACTGGAGGTTATTTTTTGTAAATTAGGTGAAGTAACCCTTTAAATTTGCATCCACATTTTAAGATTTGCTTGTAGTTAGTTTAACACACGTTTACCGTAGGCTTGTATTAGTACTGTTGTTGTGTTTACCTACATTTGAATCAAATTTAAACTGATTTTGGGAGGTAAATGGACTGTAAATGTCCACTGAGTGCAGCTACATGTCAGATTGAGCTACATCTCTGTCACCATTTCAATGTTGACTGGAAGCGTTTCAGAAGTCTTCAAGCAGTCTGCTCTTCATCAGACACATTTCCAGCATTGTTCTGAGTTGTTTTGCCTCTATATTTTTGGTAAACAAGCATATAGTATTGATTACACATTTGCAGCTCACTGATGTTTGATTTGAAAATAATTATTTTGTTACTCCACTTGAACACCCAGATAAAATAGTTTTTGCTGCATGTCCACAAAGGCAGAGTCAGTAACAAATGAAAAGCATCATTAAACACAGCGACATGTGGGTCTGTGTTAATGTCTGTGTGTGATAGGGTGACAGACTGAGTTAATCGCATACAATAGCAGTAGTAACACATTTAAAGACACACAAACACACACGCACACACATACACACATGCACGCGCGTGTGCAAACACACACACATATTCAAAGACATGCACAGATACGCACGCACGCATGCGCACACACACACACACACACACACACCGGAGTGCCGTCTGTCAAAACACAGGAACTCTTTCAGGAGGGGCGTGATGATGTCAGAGAAGAGTTGCCTAGCAACGCACCGTATGTCGTCAGGCCGAGTGCATTACGATTTCAGAGAGGGAAAACACACACATGCACATAGATAAGACTCATACTGAGGAATCTTCAGTAACATTAAGCTACACTTATACACACAACCTTACCCACACACAGGCAGACACACATGAAAACATGAGTCATCTGATGAATATGAGTCATCCGCTCCTGAGGGGGCGAAGAGACGCATGATGGGAAATTGTGATGTCAGTGACCTTTCAAGCCCTCCGACCTAGTGACCTGCTGTATGGCAGTTGTTTGAGTGTGAACACATGTGTGAAGTAAAATGCAGTATTTATATTTCACTGACGTAGGGTACAACTGCAACCAAATGAAAAATTAGCTGGTTAGCTTCACTTTGCTTTGTGAGCAGATTTCCCAGTATATGCAGTAATGTTCCCCTGCTTGTGAGAGAGAGAGAGAAACAGCCAATATCTAACAGATTATATAGCTGTGGGACACACACAATCACACACACACATGCACATATGCTTATCTTGTTAACTAATTGAAGCTTCTACATATTGAGACTGGATTCAACAGAGAGGACTGTGTGATTAGAATAATTGAAATGGGATGCTGCTTCTGCTGCTGTGCTGCTTAGCTGTAATGCAACCAACTGGAGTCAGATTTTATTTTGGTGATTCAGTGACTCTGCACTTCAGTACACTGATCCCTGGTGTGCCACCAACTCCCCATGCTCCTCTCAGTTTGTACTATAAGTTATATTAAAGTCCACTCTGATGGGGACGCTTCAGCGCAGCCTTGATTGAATGCTGACTCCACTCCTCTGCATCAAAGATGTTGCATAAGCAGTCCCTTTGCTCAAATTTGCTCAACTATACTCATCATTGTTATTCACCAGTACTTTCCAAGTGCGGGCAACCTTACATTTACCATGAGTTGTATGCTTTCTTCAGTTTGGATTTGGCCATAAATGATCATAAATTATGCTTAGTAATGTAATATAAATGTGTGTGTTTGTGTATTTAGGAGATGACCCATTCCTGGCCTCCTCCTCTTACAGCCATACACACTCCTGGGAAGGCTGATCAGACCAAGTTCCCCATCCCAAATAAGGTTAGTATGACTTCTCTGTCTTCGTCCCACTGCAAACACCTTTCATTCACCAAAGTAAAACACACCAGCTCACAGCAAGGCTTAATAGCGCTGATTCATTTTGGATTACAAGTCTGGTAATGTATGCTTTCGTACATTTTGTTTTCATGTTCTCTACTTGTGCTCTGACTACATCTTTTTCCTTTATTTTGCATGAGTCAGTGAGTGGAAAGAGATGAGAGTGTTGAAAAACCTTCACTTACACTCCCACACTTACTGGTGGCTCATCATAAAACTAACTGCAGTCTGTCACTGAGAATCTTCAGTCTGCTAATTAGATCTGATTCATAAATTCACTGCAGCAGTGATTGCTGGGATGGAATCAGATTACTGTTGCCTCATCCTGCGCAGTGGCAAAAGTGACAGCCAATGAAATTACAATGTTAATGAAGTACTGCATGTTTAATTCAACTCCGCACTGTGTGTCCAGAGCTGAATAGAAGTGCATGAACTCTTAAAAAGAGCCACTTCTTCTCTGTGAAAGTAAAGTAGCTGTTAATAATAGCATATTAAAAGTTTGGGGACCACTTTTCATACAAGGCACTCTATATAAATATTTTTTAAGTTGTAATTAATGGCTTTATTAACAGTTATTAAATCAAATGCTTTATAGTCAGTTATGGGCAATTAATGAGAACAAATTTTGGGTTGCCAGGTTAAGACATTTCTTTTTGCCTGGTATTTATTCTCCTCCAAGAGGACACTTGATTTGTTTTTTGTTTTTTTAGATCATCAGGTACTGTAGACTGCCTCAGTGTTCATTTATGAATGAACTCTTAGCATTAACATTTAAGAATTTGATATTTACACGTACTGACTTCTACTCAGCCTGGTCTCACAAAAATACATGAATTGACCACAACCTGTTGACAACACGTTACTTGGCGGTGGCATGTAATGTGTAAAAATGAAATGCCAGCACCTTGGAAACAACAGGCTCATTCCAGATGAACTGTGCCTCCCTTGGAAAGTAGACGAGAGCAGGCGATGACAAAAAGCTGTGGTCAAGTCAGACAGTTTTCCGACAGTTTCCAGCAGTCTTCAGTCTCTACAGAAAGTCACAGAAACACTTACATTCTGTCTGATACGATGTTGATTTATTAAAATATTGTCAGACTTATATGTAAGTTTGTTCTCTAATTGTTTTAGTTACAATAGATTAATTTTTTAAAATGCTTTACAGGTGATCTGTAATTTATGTTCATGGCTCAACCTCCATTTTACATGAATTCTCATGTAAATCAGCATCATTACAGTTTGCTGCTTTAGAGCAGACCTGTCCCCTCAGCTTCACAGGCTAAATAAACTGTGTGTTGACTTTTAGGTTAATATTTTCAGAGGAAAAAAACATGCAAGACAACAGCTTTTATTAAAGATCAGTCAGATATAGTCAGGGCTTCACATCTATACAGATGTTATTTTAAGAATCACCTCAGCATTGGCTTGTTTTTACAGGTTGTCCGCGGGGTCTTAAAAAGTATTAAAAGTTGATAAATCAAATGTTGGGAAATTAAGGCCCTTAAAAAGTATTAAAAAGTCTTAATCGCGATTTTATGAAGTATTACATTTTCTTGGCATTCAAGCTTTGACAAAAAGTATCCATGAATGTATAATTTATTTTCCTCCTCGCGACTATTACAAACAAGGATGTGTAGGTAGACACACTCGGACTGCCACTCGGGGTGGGGACTGAGGGGAGAAAAAAAAGTCCAAAAAAGTTAATAACTTAAAAATTATGGCGAAAGGATAGTTTCTTGCAACCCTAGAATTAAGATAAAAATATTCACAAACAAAAAAAACACTTCTGGTTGCTGGTAAGTAGTGTTTAACTTTTGATTTAACACTAAAATTTAAAACCCTCTGTGCACACTGCAGCGCAAGCAGACAGATGCGCAACTCAGAGCAGCATGTGTCACTGACACCAGACTCAGAGTGCAGTGGACCGGTGGAAAATGTCATCATCAGCATATTATTTTACATCAATAAAATCTATTTTATCATTATTTTGAGTCACATTGTTGAAAGAATTTAGTCGTCTGTGTTCAAGCAGGATAATAGGTCACCATTCATTGCACGTTGGGCTTTCTATTTCCTTGTTGGAGATCTTTTCTTTTTTAATAACCAACCAAAAAGAGTCAATCAATTAAAAACATAAACTGGAACTGGAACATGAAATCTTATATGCCTAACAGACATTGCTTCTCGTTCTTTGAGTTTGCATATTGCTAAAGGGGAAAAAAACAACCGTAAACGGACAGCATGATTAGTGTTGGAATCAAGATCCCCCCAAAAAACGGGAGAAAAAAAAAAGCAGAATATTCGTTTGTTTATTTTTTCACACTCAAATCCCGTGCCATCAAACGAAGCTTTGAAGCTTCAAATTTTTTGGGTCAGCCCTAAATCCCACATGCAAGGGGCTAGCCATAAGGTTGTTGTTTTCAGCAAGTTGGCCTTGAATAGCTGATGTTGAGCTGTAGAGCTGTGTTATGAGCTAAGGTGTATTTTAATAAACCTGCCTTTGGTTTAATTTATTCTTTCAAGCTTTATTCCTTCTCATCTTATCCGAGTTCTGTTGTATATTTGTGCTCCATAGAATTAATTGCAAACTACAACTGTTTAGTAAGTTAAAGATGCGTTGCTGCTAACGACAGCTTGAAGTGGCGATGAGGTCTTAAGGTTTTTTTGGAAGGTCTTAAAAAGTCTTAAAAAGGTATTGAAATTAACCTCAGGATTCCTGCATATACCCTGTTTTAGTCACAGAGTTCACCAAAGTTGAACTTGACAGGAATTTTTACTTTGTTGCTACAAAGGAATCCATCGATTTCATTAGAATAAGTTTTACCGTTTTAAAGGTTGGTGTTTGTTTGGCTCCTCTTAATCATCAATAAAAGAACAACTTTCAACCCACTTTGAGATTAAAAAAAAAGCCTTCCATTTTGTTTTAAAAACCTGGTATCTGGTCGCTGTTTCCTTGTTTCCTGAGAAAAAGCCTGCAGCATGCAACACATGATTTCCTAAAAAAAAGAAAAGTAAGTGGGTTTTCAATACGAACAGCAATAACAACCAGGGCTGAACACTCAAAGAACGTCACTTACAGAAAGCCAAACTTTACCCACAGATATTTCAAGGGAATGACATTGTAGTGCCACCCACACTGTTTGTTTGACAGGTGATGTTTGAGAAGTGAAGTGCAGAAACACGACAACAGTAATCAACAAAGACTGAGACACAATAAAAGCAGAGACTAAAGAATTGCCTCTTCAGAAGATAGATGTTGGGAAAGTTTCTCCCGCTCCCACAAAAAATGCTTTATGACACCTTGTAATGTAAATAGTGTCACATTAAAACCAACATAAATGTTATATTCAACATTTATCTCAGAAATGGCAGTCGTATTCTGACTGAAACAGCAGGTGTTTTCCAACACAGAGTGCTTTTATGAATCATTTTTAACATGCAAAACATCTCATTGGTGGTGATGTCAAAAGAAATAGCAACGTAAACACAGAGGCAGTAAATCTGACCCGGTATTTAATGAATTAGGAAAGACTGTTGTGGTGCTCTCAGCCCCCAGCGTCACACTAATCCTGCAAGTGAGTTTTAAGAATGAGGTGGAGAGTCGAAGCGGGGAGATGAGAGGATCTGAATTCTGTGTAATGGCATCGTTGTACTGCTGTGAAATCAATAATGACATCTGTTGGTTTATTCATTCAACTTATCACCCTCTGGCTTTCTCTCTCCCTCTCTCTCTAGGAGTCACAGCATGTGACCTCAGGCTACAACACCCAGAGTAAGTTTCCCAGCATCAACACTCACATACTCGCTCTATGGTAATTAACACTGGAGAGGCCATAAAGGCAATACCACCCAGACGAAATGCGAGAAAAGCAGCTTGATGTTAAAATGAATTCATAGCCACAGGAGCATGATAGTCTGCAAACCTTTGCTTTTATCTTTCTGTGTTCATCTGAACAAGTAATCAGACAAACATGGCTTTACACACACAGCTAAATTGGTTTGATTGATTGTGGAGACCATTTGTTTATTATTAACAGCAGCAAGGATGCTCACCCATAGAAACACAGACTTTGTCACTCAGCATTTAGAGGTGGGGACTGAAATACACCAAACTGTGATTTGCTGCCATTCATGGGCAATTACACATTTAGATCATTTATTTCTAAGCACACAGTGAAGTAGTGAGTGGAGCTCAGACTGCCTATCAGATACTTCTAAACTGACAGTATTGACTTGAAGTGGGCAATGTGGATAATATGTTCACACAGTCACAGTATATGGAATATTACACTGCAAAATTGTGAATCATTATTTAGTGGATTAAAAAAAATCAGTCCAGTTTAAAGACTGAATAAGATAAGAATTCTTATTTTCAGCTTCACTTTAATATCCCAATTACACTTGCCATTAACATACAATCTATATCTGGATATCTTAACAAGACAACAAAAAAAAGATGTCACATTAGTAAACAGTGTAAATGCATGTAGGACACATTGTGACCAGAAAGTGAATTAAAAATGAATGTAGGGATGTGCTACGTTTGTTGTCCATCAGCCCCACCTTATTAATATACATATTTACATCTGATCCCAAAGCAGCTGCAATTCAAATAATGAGAAAGTTTAAAGAAATACTTCACCCACAAAATTACCACTTGTTTATCAATTACTCACAGCATGTTACCTTGAATTTGTGTACAAAACTTTGTTTTTCTCACATGCCTCCATGGTAAACAGTGAATCCAAAGAACGTAAACATTCTTCACGAATTGAAGTAATCAGGGTTCACATTTAGCAACAACAAAACAAAACCTCACACACTCCTGCAGTATGATCCAGGTGTTATTTATCCAGTCGTATGCTCAGCACTTCCAAGACACATGCATTTTCACTAAAACCTTACTATTTTAAACAAATCAGTACAAACAGTGTCATGCACTCAAGCGGAGCTCATACATATGCGTGTCCTCAGGCACACTCAGTGCACGTAGCTCTTAGGCAGAAGTGTTTTATAGTGTAACGTTTGTGAAAATGCATGTGTTTGGGAAGTACTGAGCATATGACTGGATAAGTACAATCTGGATTATACCTCACGAGTTGTGTTTTGGAACAGATGTTTTAAAATAGTTCTTCTGTCATTAAACTTGGACCCTGTTCACTTCAATTCATCAAGAATGTGAGAAAAACAAAGCTTTCTTCACAAATTCAAGGTAACATGATGCGAATAACTGATATACAAATTGTCATTTTGTCAGTGAAGTATTTCTTTAATACCAGGTGCAAATGCAAAGGACTGTTAATTGAATGTTATTATTCAGATAATGTGTCTCGATATGGATCATGTTAATGGCTGGCTGGTAAATGGCCACGTCTTTCTCATTTTACATCACTGCATTGAGTCACTGCAACATTTTGTCTCTCTCTCTCTTAACAATGTAAAGTCTTTAAGCCCAGATTGTTTGTTTGTTTGGTTGTTTTTGGCACAGTAATATTAACCAAATCAAGAATGATCTTTTTCGCACAGCAATTATACAGCTGTTTTTACAAGTTTGGCAGAGTTACGTTACTTTTTAAATACCTGACAAATTAATATCCTATAAATCCAGTATTACCTTAAAAAGCCTTTTTGATTTGCAATCTTGCCAACAATTGTCAAATACATGAAACGATATTGAAAGGAGAGGAACCTTGTTTGATATATAAATGTAAATTATGCAAAATTTAGACCAGTTAATAGAATCTCTTTTGTCTCATGATATATGTGTTATTATATTGCCCAACAGTGCATTTAGTACATTGCAGTAGATCTGACTCCCAGGCATCAGATCATCAAAAGCTCTTCTGAACTGGTGATCTTGTGTTAACCCCCATCTTGTAGTGTTTGAGATGTTTGTGATGTATATAAAGCTGAAATATTTCCCCACTGGCGCCTTTTTCTCTCTGATATGAACAGCAGAAACACAACTGACTAGAATACAAAGTACAGTGAGGGGGTTCTGTATATCCATCTGGAAAATAAATCATCACCTCAAGTTTTTGTCAGGCAGTGCATATCAGTTAGAATTTTATTTTTTCGCAAACTCCTGTTACCAAAGCAAAGCAAACACACACACGCACACACACATACATACACCCCAACACTGGAGCAGAATGTCATGTTTTCCAGTGTGATAATAGTAATACACAGCTACAGTGATTTCAGTCTGGCTCCTCGTCAAAAACCAATCAACACACACACACACACACACACACACACACAAACCAAGACACATGCAAAACAGTGATACTTGAATGTCCTCTGTTGTGTTGTAGAGCGATGTACTGTATCCGCTAACAAGCCTGCTGCGAAACCACCAACTGCACCACAGAAGTCGTGAGTATCTCCCTCTCTGAGACACACACACACACACGCACATAAACAGAGAATTTCTGACCCGCTGCTGCTGCGTTTGCCTCAAGGTAAAATTAAGCTTGACTCTTGGATGAAATTCACTGCTGGTAGGAGGAAAAAAACATTGTGTGGATCAGAGCGGGAAAGTGCAGCTACATTAATTTAACGTGAGCCAGGAGCATATTGCAACATCTCTGGCTGCAGCCCACTCCACTTCACTCACTGAGCTGTGCAGCAGGATTCATGGCAGGGTGAGATTGGAAAGGAAGAAATCTTGGCTTGTAAATCCACCTCACGACCCTGATTTATCCTGTGCTCGACCACAGAAGCTCAATGATTTTGTTTTAGAAATTGACAGTTTGCTAAACCTTTTTCCCCAAATACTGATTTCCATTCTTAGCTTAGTAACTGTAACTACATATGCATGGCCTTTTGCCTTTCCAAAATAAGAGGCACAAGAGGAAAAGTTTATGGGAATGGATTAAACACTGTCTTAATCTGCTCAAATGTAAGCTTCAGACGTTAGAATGTTCAGCTAACTAGCGAGAAATGAGTGTTGATTCTGGACATCACGAAAACATACAAACTCCACACAGAAGGGCTCCCCCACCCTGGAGTTAGAACCCCCCACCCTGGGTTCGAACCAGGAACCCTCTAGCCGCGAGGCGACAAAGCTAACCACTGCATCACTGTGCCAACCTGAAACACTGAAACTTACAGTTGATAATATAGATAATTACATTAGCTAAGCTAAACAGTTGAGTTAGAATGAAATACATTACATTTCTCCTTATTCTATTTGCTGCTGCTTTTTTGTTTTCATGTCATCACATGTATTTAAACTGGTGAGGGTGCTAACTTTTTTCAGGTGATAAAGCTTTAGCCTCAGTCTTTTACTGTAGCGCCATGTGTATTCAGCCATTAAATGGACCCATAGAAAATTTGTTTGTATATTATTAAATTGTTGTCAGAATTACATTGTAATGACAACACAATAGCTGCCTGGATTATGAGTTAATGAAACACTACATTTGTGTGCTGCACATACAAAATGCAGGACTCTGACACTAGAACATCAGGTTTGTGTCCAGACTCCTGTCTGTGGTTAGGTTTAGGCAACAAAAAGGAAAGATTGTTCAATGTTAATAGGAAAGGTATTAAAGAAAATAATTCTGTAGTCTCTATGAGTGGATAGTGTATTAGAAGATTGCCTATTTGGTGGAAAAAACTGAAATTGGTTGTCAGTGAACTTTCTGCTGTTTCAAAATCAGTAGTATACAGAGAGAATTATGAGTAGACAAAGCTGATCAAATGCATTTTTCTTTTACAAGATTCAAGTCTGCTGGAAACATTTTAAAGTTTATGAGAGTCAGTGTTTGAAAACCAAGTCATTCAGCTAACATTAGCTTAATTAGCTAGCTAGCTAGCTAGCTTATAGAATCTGGCAGTTGTCATTTCAGCCAGCAAAATTATAGAGTATAGAAAAATAGTCACTGACTAGAAATAAGCAGCCTGGCAATATCTGAAATCAGAGACCTGTTTTTTCAACACAGTAAAGTTCACATGTACCATGTAAGATTGGAAAGTTTGACATGTGTAGCAACATTAGCTGAGACTGGGGGGGCTTAGCAAACAATTATCCATTTGACAGGGTGACATTAAAATCCAAACCAGAGTAAATTTGTCTGTTTTTACCATCAGAATATTGCCTAAATCCACTTGTAGATGAAAGTGTGACTTAAAACCAAAGCTATAATTTTTTGCTTTCCTCAAATGTTTTGCTTCGTCTTTATTAATTTCTGTCTTCATCTGGGAAAGAGGATTTTTGCTCTATCCCCTGTCATATTAAATGAGAGTTTTCAAGTGCTAAGTGCGATGCATTATTTATACATTTGGTGAAAGCTAATTAAAGAAAATGAGAGAAAATATGGCAAGCACGGTGTCAAAAAGGAGCTTTTGAAAATGAAAACGACTTGATGGCCAAAAGATGATGCAAAAATCCTGCAAGTTAGGAAAAAGTCAATGCAGTCTATAGTTAGCAGTCATTCAGCAGTAGGTCAGCATGTAAACTCTCATTTCCTCCTCTTTGAGTATGTAGTTACATAGTTAATTATATCTCCATTAGGGTGATGTCTGCTGGAGCTGTAATGCTTTCTTTGGCTTATTATACTATTTTGCTTCCAAAGCCGATAAGCCTATTTCTTTTGATTACTATTGTTTGCCCAGAGGTGTAATTTTTTCTCCTCTTGTATTCAAGCATAAATACTGCTTTGTTTATTAGGGTGAAATAATTGTTATTGGTTAAAAACAATGCCTATACTGCAGCCATTAGGCTACTCTCTGTTTTTACTGTGATGCTTAACAGCGTAAAATGTTCGGGATAATGAATAGGCCTGGCTCGTCTTATTCAAGAGTAATTGTGCTGTTGAGGCTAATTGCTATATTCTTTGCTGAACGTTTACCATTACAGAAAACTCATCCAACAGTAATCCCCACAAATAGGCTCTGTACCTTAATGCCACATTAGGAACAAAAGCAAGTTTCATTTAGTCTTTCGGTGGAGCAGAGTATGTACCTTCCCACTCCAGGAGTTTCATTATGCTCTGATCCAATCACATGATGTTACGACAACTGCATGTATGCAACAGAGCGGAAGAAGAGAAGGAGACTCTTGTCTCGTCGAACCAGCTTTTGTGTTTGCTCAGTCTGCAGCAGGGTTGTCTCACCTGCTGGCAGCAACAGAAACCCAGAGAACGCCCAGGCTTTTATTATCACTGAGCTCTCTAACAGCAGTGCTGGATTTATTATAATGTGCACAATCACACATGGTGCCCTGCACAGTGTAAGCATCCCACACAGAGCAAGGCACTAACACTGTTAGGGTTAGGAGTTCAGTTCTCTGTTTTGCTCAGTGTATAAAGAATACAGACTCTTATGCTTTGTCACCACAAAGTAACAGGTGTCTGGTCAGAGGAGGACAGTATGCAGCCAGTGTTATTGTGATGGTATTACACGTTAATAGTATAATGCATGCGTTGGCCAAGTGAATGCAATGCCATAATGTAAATTTTGATTGAAATTTCAGCACACCTGATGGGCATGTTCGTTTTCTAATGCATTCAGGTGTAAACAGGGATAGATCTTTTACAGTACAAATATGTATCTTTTCTTTCAGTTCTTCAACACAGTATGAGTCCAGTGAGGCCTCAGCTAGAAGCTCACATTCAAAGCACAAATTATATCCAATCCTGCTGCTTGTTGTCAGACAAGCAATGTTTTATGTGTTTGGCAACATAAGAAATAATACAGTGTCTTAAATTAATTGCTGATAAACTATCCAACACAGTGCATATACAAGCTTGTGTTCAGATGCATTAGTGCTTCATATAAACAGTCTGTGTAACTAAATGGAAAATAACTTTTAAGAGAACCTCAAAACCTTATCTAGCTGGAGGCTTTGTTCAAATGTCTTTTCTTACCAAGCAACAACCTCCAGGGCAGAAAATTGAAGCCAACGTTGGAAGTGCCAAAAATTGCAGTTCCTCTAATGGCCACTTGAGGCTGACTCCAAAAGCCAGTCAACTCCCAAAGAGCCCCATGTTAAAATGCCCAACTTCACAGCAGAAATAAACATGTTAACAGCCTGGTACAAAAACAGTTTGGGTCTCCATAGCTAATTTCAACATTCATAACAACTGTGCAGAGGGTGAATTTTTAAATAACTCACTGGTTTACATTTTTCTATGGCTTAACGTTATTATTAAGGGTGGGTCACTTTGAGTGACAGGCTGTCTGCCAAGCTTATAAAGGGATATGAAGGGAGAACCAGATACAGTTTTGGAGACAGGGCCCAATTCATTTCTATGAAAGTTGCTTAGTGGCACATGAAGTCAAAAAAGTTTGGCTTCTGATGCCTTTGTGGGCTCCATGGCATCAGGTGACAGACACAGAAGTTGTAATTCCATGGTTTGGCCACTATGTCAAATTGGCGTCAAGGTCCGGCGCTGTTCTTGGTGGCTTGGGAGTATTTGTCAGATCCACCTCTCACTCCTTCACAGCTCCACCCACTTGCTCAAATATGGTCACTTCTGGCCCCTAAAATTCAAGATGGCAACAAGCAGAATGCCAGACTCAAGGCTTTAAAACGGGAGTCCACAAACCAATGAATGACTCAAAGGTAGCTACGTACATTATTTTTATATAGTCTATGGTTGTTACAGCGTACGGCACAACAATGAACCACATTGTTAGTATCCAGCCTCGATCCAGTTCAGTAGCAAGTCAAGTCTTCTGCCCATCATCAGTTTAAACAAACAGTGATTTTTTTTCCACCCTTGTTTTATTTGAGTATTTTTAAGAGATAAAAATTACACATTATCTCTGTAAGTAAAAAAGTAAAGATTAGAAGACAGTCTGAAAAATTAAGGTCATTTAGTGCAGCAGAAATCATTTTCCTCTGCTTTACTAGTCTTTAAATCATCTCCTCACCTGCAGCCTTGTCTCATGCCCCTTTTGTGGGTCCCAACACCCCAAGGTGAGAACCGCTGCCTTAGACAAACCTTCAGCCACACTGCAAGTTATGCATTTCACAGCTCACTTTGAAATACAGGGAAAACTTTGAAGTTTGAATGAGCAGTGACGAACATGAAAAGACAATGAAAAGAGCGCCACGCTTAGAAAGTCAAGCATCATTAACAGTTGGTCCTGCAGAATCAGTGCAGCAATGAAGGCTTAGCACCAAAGTAGAGTAAATGAGAGGATAAGGTAGACCTCATAGTTAAGCACAGCAGGAAAGAAAGCAGAATAAAGGCTATGAGCTGGTCTAAATAAATGAGTGTTGATTGTGGACGTCAATCGGGAGAAACATTTTCAGCATGAGAGTTTTCCCTGTAAGCCAGTCTACTGTGAGGGAGATTTATGTGTGCGTTTTGTTTTGCAGTCTGAGTACATGTGCATCTGAAATTCTCTACAGCGGGCGTGTTGAGCAATCAGTCATTAGCTGAGCGGGGCTTTGATTTAGCTTCGGAAAATATTAACATCCTCTCAGACAAACTTCCTGCAAATAATGGAGCTCCACTACAGCTTTACTTTAAGAAATAAAAAGGCTCCATTTTATGAAGGCAATTAAGAGCCTTGTAGAAATTTGATGCTGCGCCTTCTAAGCTCTGCATGTCATGGTTGCTTTAGTCCATAACTCATTTATATCCGACTGCGTCCATCCTCCTAGATGCCTCCACTTTCTCTTGCATTTTATTCCTTTCCCCCTCCATGCATCCCCTCTCCTCTCTCTCTCTCTCTCTCTCTCTCTCTACTCAGTCTCCATCTCCCTCTGTCACTCGCTCTCCTTCTCCTCTCCGTCATTATCATCCCCATCTCACTCACTATCTCCCTCTCTCCATCTGTCCCTTCTTATGAAATAAAACATGAATCCATTATTCATTCATTCAAACATATCTATCATCGCCGCGTGCTGCACTGTGCCCCTTATCTGCAAAGCTTTTTCTTATTGTGCTTCAGTTATTCACGACGCGTACGGTCCCATCTGAAAACACCACAACACTGGGGAGTGTTTTTTTAGCGGTGCAAGCACTGACAAGAGTGGTTCGTGAGGCAGTAAAAATCCCTTTAGGGGATACTCCTGTCATAACAATAGCAGTGCCAGCTTAAAATAACAGTAGTTTGTGTGGAAGGTTTATATAAAGCAATAAAACATGGGAGCTTGCCAATGCACAGCACATAAATACTGAATAATTTGTGTGGTAAGGAGCAGGTGATGCTCTGAAGGGGGTCATGTTATCGACTGTGTCTTGTATATCTTTTTCATAGCCTGCATACATCTGTATTGTTAGAATTTCATCTGTAGTGTGGGGAGAATAAAACAAACATGACTAATAAAGGAAACAGGGCAATAAGCGGGTCCTTTTTCTTATAAGAAGCCCTACAAAACATCAGTGTGCGATCCTGACAGAAGGACTGATTTCGGCCCGATCACGTCCTCTTTGTTTCCAAGGAATTCTTGGCTGTAGGTCAGCAGTTGTCAGACAGAAAGTTTCCAGGTGAAAAAACAATCTGGCTTTCCTCTCCAAGCTCTAAAAGCCAAACATCTGGTAGGTTTTTAGTGGCGGAGTGCTCCATCCACTGTCCACTTCCTCATTCTCCAACATGAACCAGCGCTGCTTTTTGCTGTGTAATTAATCTGCTTGCCAGAAAGGTTCTTCAAAGGGAATTGCAGATCACGACTCGCCACATCCGACCTAATACAAGCAGACAGGGGGTCAGGGCCGCAGTAACACGTGTCCCTTTGTCTCTGTGCAGAATGCTGGAGGATGACCTGAAGATCAGCAGCGACGAGGAAGAGGCCGAACAGCAGGTGAGCTCCCTCTGCAGTCCTTCCATTCATTTATCTGTGCAAATCATCCCTCGCTCCATCTTTTCCTTCATCTGTTCTCCAATCATTCATGCATTCACATCCATTACAGTAAGTTCATCTTTGTATATGTGACATTTACTGATTTCATTCATCTGTCCTTAACTCTTATTTCTGAAAGCGTCCGATCACAATTCATTTCTCTACTCATTTGCTATTTCACTCAGCTTTTTAGGTACCACTGCCAATATTTATTAAACCCTTTCAGTCACAGCTCAAAAACTGTTTTTCCATATACTTCCATTTATCCGTCTCTCATAGACTCATATTAGCTGAAAATATTGGTGTTTTGCTGTTTGTATTTTTTCTGTATGAGGCTTATTGAAAATTAAGTTACAAAATTCTTGGTTTTAAAATTTTGAATGTGTCAAATATGATTACACTTCTTAGAAAACAGTTATCAAACTAACTAGTAAACTCAGTCAGGTAGTTGGTGAAAGTTTCAGTTACAGCAGCATCATAATCAAGAAATAACAGGTGTCAACAACCTTTGTGACTTCAGAGGAGTCAAGGGTCAACATTTAGAATGTGATTGGTTTATAAAAGAGCCCATAACCAATAAATTATTTTGTAAACTATTAAAGAGAGTGGGGCACAAACAAACTTTAAAGCTGACAGTAGAGAGATAACAGGAGAAAAGGGCAGAGATGAAGACATACAACTGTCCCATCATAGTTAGTGGTCAACACCTTAGCCCTTAGGCCACCTGGGCACCCCAAGCTGTTGATATGCTGACTGATAGTGAGGTACACCAATCCACTCATGTGTGAACCTAAATTAAACACCTGTGTAGTGCTGCAGCTGAATGAGTTAACAGGTAAGTATGAGGAAAGAATAGTAATGACAATCATAAGGAGGGAAATGTATGATTTCTTTAAATGGGCAAGACACCAGTAATCTGCAGAAAAAACATACCTGCACATTACTGTCTACTTCCCAATCCTTCCTTCATTCTACATGGATGACACAACACAAACACAAATGGTCTATCTCAGTTAATGTACAGGGATGTACTGAAATTAGAGGATGACCTTTTGTGGTCAACAGATTCTGACTAAAAATTCCAGTTAAATGATTACACTGAGGCTGTAAAAGTTTATTCAGCTCAACTAAATTCTATGGAAAAGCACTTCTTTTTCTTGCAAGTACTTTTCAACTACCCTTCAGATCCAGGCACTACCTCAGAGGGCTCTCGTTTACACTATCTGGTCGAAGTGTACACTTAACAGCTAAAGCAACGCTTTCCCATAAATGGGCTTTTCTTACAGAGTAATTGTACAGTGTGCCTTCTTGGAAAGGCTTTATAAACTTACCAGTAAGTACAATAGAAGTGTTATGTTGCATTTGAATGTGTTGACTTGTGTCATACAAGTCACAGCCACCAAACAGGATATTTTTAAGTAATTGCTTTCTTGATGTTGCAAAGAGATCATTGCTTATTACAGTAATTACTTATTCTCATACAAATTATATTTTAACCATGTGAGGGATAAGGAGCATACAGCAAACAGATTCCCTTCATTTGTTAATCATTTTATCTTTACTGTGTGTAATTATAATAAAATATAACTTAAACCAAACGAAAATCTGTTGTAAAATAATTGATTTAAATTTAGCTTAAAGGAGGCATTATAAAATAAAGTTAAACAAAAACTAAACACATAAGTAAAAAAATGAGTTTCGAAAATTGTTCCTGACCTTGCAAACAGCAGTTAATACAGCAATATCACATTAAGGCCCATTAAGTAGCTGTTCTGGAGCTTTCGATCACATGACTGTCAATCGATGTTTTCCCAGTTGCCATGGAATTTGAGGCACTCAAAGAACTTTTCCTCTCAATTTAATCAATCTTATTGTGAAGTTCATGTGATATGATCAAAAGGGACTAAATGGACCTTGTGGTGATGTTATTCTTTTTCCAGCTGAAAAAGATAATCAGACTCACTCTCTAGTGATTCTGTTTCATTATTCTGTCTTTAAATGATGAGATGATAATTGAATTTTAAAACTCAAATTGCAAAATTTATTTTATAAGCCTTTCATATTTACCTTTGTGTTATCCTATTTACTAATGTGTCAGTATATCATTTATGCTTTAACATTTATAGTTTCTATGTTGTGATTGCTTTGATTTAAAGACCTGTAAGCAGTTACCGTGCCGCCTACAAATGAACTGAAGTCCCGCCCACAGAGTAACAGGTGGAGCACTCAGGCCTGTTCTTCTACTAATAGTATTTGTATTACTAGTTTTTGCTTTAAGTTTTGTGAAACATCATTTAAATGCAAATGTAATTCATAAAGTTATAATAGCTTTTTAAAATTGATCAACTTATTAGTTGATTGTAATTAAACATACTTAATGTTTCTAATTATTCCAGTGGCACACTTCAGGCTTTATAATTTGGGAGCTAGAAAGCACACAGAGTCATAATTTAAGGTCTGAATTTGAACTCAGAAAAGCCATACCTAATGTGTCGTTGGTCTTTAAAAATCCTTTAAGATATTAAGCATGATGTTGTTATCGATCCAATAGGGGTGTTTCCCCATGTTCAGTTCAATATCCATTGACCAGAGAGGTCGTGTTTGTCACTCCAGGGCACTTTGCATATGAGCAATGCAGTTGTCCTGCTCCTCTTGTCTTGTTTTCCAGTATGGAACTTGGCACCATGGCCCTCTCTCTCCTCTAATCACTATCATCATGCGCTAATGATGCCAGAGATGAGTTCAAAGCAGTCAGTGGGGGTCGTGCTGCTGCCCCCTCCCCGACTGTGAGGACTGATATCAGCACTCATCAAAGAGTCCATGAGACATTTTCTGTTAATGAAAAGATACCGATTCCTCTCATCCTCTTTTAACTGTCCTTCTGATTGTATAATTACAATGATGGTAGATTTTATAATTATAAATGATGGCAGGTCATTTATAGTGGTTTTAGTTACTGTAATTATGCTAAAAGTAGATCTGTTCATTACACATAGTTAAAGTGCATTCAGAAGTGTAGCGAGTGGCTTCCTTAATCAAAGGGTTACATATGATTACTCTTAGTATTAGGAATAGACAGGATGAAAAAGGATACAATTAATTCTGTCTTTCTTTCACTTTTCTGTCTGAAGTGTATCACAATCCCTCGTTAAACACAGTGACATTAAAACTGTGTTTTATATCAAATCCCTTTTTTTCTCCTGCTGTGAAACTTTGAATTATTTTTGATGAGTCATCTAAAACTTGGGAGGCGTGTGGATAAATGCATCACATCAAATGTTTGTATCATTGTATAAAACGGCACCTGACTGTTAGCTAGTGGGTTGTCATCCCTAGCAGAGCAATGTCATACTGTAGTAGGAGGTGTGTGTTTGGATTGAAGTTTAATTTATACAGTTCTTTGTCATCATCTACCTCCTGATCTTGCAACGTGGGTGAGGGTGGTGGATAGTAGGTGGAGGTCCTCTACAGCTCCAATGTAGATTTTTATTGACATTTCAGTACTTATTTTTGTTTTTATCCATAGTCTGTATAAAAGAAGTGGACGTAGCCTCCGGGTCTTAAAAGTGAAGGTAGTGCAGAGGTGCCTTAAACCTGCATTCTTTCTTAAGGACAGCAGGGGGCGACTCCACTGGTTGCAAAAAGGAGACCCTTCTTCTCACCATGTATTCAAAGATATATGATTATAAGTAAATACTAGACCCCAAGATGGTGCCTATTCAATCCAGTGGAGTTGCTTGCCTGGCGCCAAAAAAAGTTTCTAGCTTACGGATTTACTTTTAAGGCTTTTCAAAGAATGCTGGGACATGGTCTTTGACCCCGTGGGAGCTAAGAGGTATGACAGATGTGCAATGTAACTGGAGCGGCAGTGTTGTTGTTACAGCAGACTTCACTAGAAACAAAGGGATAGTGGTCTTTGGGTGCGCTTGACCTGACAGAACTTTTGGGTACACTCAAAGTGATGGTGGTGTTGGTTTATGGACGTTTATGAAGCACCTTTTCAGTAATCACAAAATTGTAATTCTCAGCCTTATCTTTACTTTCTCATTTAAAATATATTCTGACTCAAGGCCGTCTGCAGATGCCTATGATAGTGTGCCACCCATTGAGCCTTTCAGCAGGTACAGACCAGTTTTCACTGCGCATGTGTTGTACCCCAAAGATATGACGCTGTGAACTCTCCTCTTCTCAACCTGCTTGGTTTACTTTAGTAGTTTTGACCCACTGAATATGCACAGAAGTGTTTCTCCCGCTGGCCTCACTTGCAAGTTCCTGCTCAACTTATAGGACTTTACATTGTGATGACGTCACAGATTTTGAAATTGCTTTTTTCGGCTTGAGGAAAGGTTTACAAATATAAAACCTCCATGGATCAAAAAATCTGAAAAGAAAGACTCATAAGTGACCTTGTTTGCAGTTTGAGGTGTTCTGTCAACAGCTGTACCGACTTCTCCTTTATAATGGTGTTCTATGGGGAAAAGTCTTTTTGGGCTGCAGTGGATTTTTTCACTGCAATGACGTGTGTCTGACGTGTGTCTGAAAATTAGTGGTAATGCTGAGGGACGTCCCTGGGGCCTGGGTTTATTAACATAGTAAATATTTTCCTAATGGGTTTATGGTCATAATCGCTAGTTTCAAGTCTTCTTCAATACAAAATGATGTTCAGTTTCTAAATTATGGTCCCATTTTGAGTGAAATAGACGATAAAGCATGGATTACTTTAGGATGTGGCTACCTTGTGATTGACAAGTTGCTACCACAACAACCTCTCAATTAGAACAGAGACGTAGCAATCCGTGTCCAGGCTCTGTGGGCATTTAAATAGCCATGAACTTGTTTTTGAGTGTTGTCCATGTTGTTGTCTTAAAACTTTGACTCCCTCACAGTGTGTTTTTAGGTCATGAAGGTATAGGTGGGTATGCATAGTGTGTCTTTGGGTTCTAAGTCAGATCCACCTCTCC